TATGTGTGGCAAAGTGTGTCAGTGCTGTGCAATTATTTACAATTACTTAAAATTCCGTGGCATATGTCGTCGGCAGTGATGGTGTGGGGGGGAGGGGCTGTAAGGGCGATGGGGACGGCGGCACTGGCTGCAAGTGGAAGTGGAGGAAACAATAAAGAAGAATACAACAAGAGAAGAAATTACATGTAAGTGAATGGAAATAAAGCGAGGGAACAATGGAAATAAAAGCAATGATTATAAAAACAGCAACAACAACAACAGCAAAGAGAGCAGCATCAACATCGGCACACAAGACGAAGACGAAAAAGGCAACCGCAACATGAGAAGCAACAAACAAACAGACAGACAGACGTAGTGCAAAAAAAAAAAAACAGGAGACATCTATCGCCAGCCAAGTCCATGTTAAAGGCATGGCATGGATGTCGAAAATGTCAACGTATTTGTGGTGCGAATGAGAGGCACAAGGAGAAGAAGGAGAATCTGGAGTCGAGTTTGAAATGGGGAACAGGAAACGTAACACTACAAATGGGTTTCCTTTCCACTGCTTGGCTGTTGGGTATTCATGTGTGTGTAAGTGTGTGTAAGTGTGTGTGCGATCTTCTTCTGTTTGCCACTCTACTTAACGCCAAGCATTAACATTAACATACACTTATCACCATCGGGTTGGTCCTGTTGGTTACAAGCTCATGTATTCATGCATGCTCTTTGATGGAGTTTCTGCCACGGCATGAAGAGTTGTCGCGTGTGTGCCAAATAAACGAATTGGAGTTGTATGTACAAATGTGTCAACTGGTGGGGCGGGGTGGGTAATTTGACACTGCCATTCTTTTAAATAATTTAATTTTGGTACAGGGCAGACATGTTCGTTCACATAAACATACATACATACACACTAATATACCGATTTCAAATAAATGACATTTGTTGCAGACAATGTCGGTATGTTATGGCTCAATTTTCAAACATATTTCGTCGCTTTAATTGTGTTCGACGCCATTATTTGCTACAGGAGTAGGTTTCAATTTATTTAACACGTGATGGTGTACAGCAGTCATTTAAGCAACAAAATGTTATTATTTTTTTTTAATTTTTTTTTTTTTTTTTTTTTTTTTTTGTAGTTGTCGGCTTAAGACTTGGAGTTTGATGATTTTACATATATACTTTCTTGTGTAATATTGCAGATAAAACCACGAGGATTATTTTCGTTTAACACTTTTAACCTTCAAGTGACTCACCAAAAGGGTATTTTTAGACCCTTTTTCATCGTAGCAAAGTCAAAATATTCCACAATACTATGTGCCATAAAATTCTACTATAGGTCCTAGAAGACGTCAAAAGTCTAAGTTGTACCTAAACGCCAGAAACGTATTAAAATCACATTTCGGGGTTAGATTCTTAAAATCACCTACAAAGCATAGTTTTAGAGGAATGACGTCAGTAAAAAAAATATTCCTCATCTTATTACGCTATAAATCTCCAAAGAAATCTCTATTCTCAATATATATCAAAACAAGTTAAAAAGTAAAAGTCGAATTTTCCGATCGTAGTATAACCTCAGTTATTGTCTGCTTAGTTAAATATATTTAAATATGTATGCATCCGTTACGATTATGTAAAATGTAGAGCCTTTTTGAAGAAGGTTCCCACGAAGTAGGCCAATATTATCCATTTTGTATCTGACCTGATATAAATATTACAACGTTTCAGATTTGAACTATATCGACTAATTCCTAAACATTTTATAAAATATGTAATATTTTTCGTAAAATTTTGAAATCTGCGTAAGCTACCATATATAGCAGATCAAAGTATCCCACTTCATCTAATGCAGATAAAAATATTGGTATGTACAAAGTTTAATGAAAATCGGAATGCGAATAATTGATAATGAAAATGTTGGATTTTTTTGGTGGAGGTGCCAGAGGGAGTTGCCCGATAAATTCTATATTTAATTCAGATCTCTGTTTGAGAAAAATATTAGCACATTCCAAGTTTGAAGAATCGTTGTCTTCTATCGCAAGTTATGTAAATTGCAAATCGGGAGGGGGTTGGAAAAATGGAAATGCGTGAAAAAATATGGGAATGCGTGAAGTTTTGAAGAAATCAAATGCTTGTTTCGCATTTTATCGAGATGTAATTACACAAAATTTTGTTTTTTTTTTTTTTTTTTTTTGGGGGGGGGGGGGGGTGTCGTTTTGTGGGTAGGTACTTCATGGAGTGGGTCGATATTGTCCATTTTCATTGAACAAAGTTTGAACAAAATTGGGCCATCCTTTCTTGTTCTATAAGTTAAATAATTTCTTTTGAAAAAGTTGAATTTTTGTGGGGGAGGTACCAGAAGGAGTGGACCGACCCAACTCCAAACGCGATCTTAGGTTAATATTACGATGTTGCAAGTTTTGAAGTTATCGAGCGTACCAGCTAGCCAGGCAGACGACCGGACGGAAACCCCTAGATCGACTCAAACTTCCCTGACACGGATTTTTGGTCCTATAAGACTTAGGGTCTAAAAATGTTGTTTGGATGAGATACGTTTCGGCCGTATTAAGTGTTATACAGGCTTTGTAGCCTTATGGTTGAGATGCCAGGATGAGTGTACCTGCAAGTGATATATTCCAAGAGATCTACAACTTTTAGAAATGCCGATAAAAGTTTGAATATTAAATGTTGTTATGAGGTCGATATTATGAGAGTTATAATTAAAATTATTTTTCACCTTCTGAGAGGGAGGTACAAAGGGTGATCCCCTATAAGCCATTTTCATACCAGTTTTTGTGTGTGTAGAAATATTGGTAGTCCGATGCGTATTGTGTATTCAAAACGTTGATCCTTTGTGGGGAAGGTACCAGCAAAGGGGGGTCATGTCTATTACATTAACATACCAGATCTCAAGTTGGTAAAACTTATAGACTGATGGAAGAATAATTTTGCTTGGGGTTTTATTTTAGGACATTGTGAAAGCTAACCATTCTGGATTGCACTTTCCGAAACAATCACTAGTTCGAACAAAAGGCACATCTGATCTTTATGTTGATACTGATTTCGTAGAATTGTCTAGTCTGTAATCGGAGATATAGCTGTATATACACATGAATCTAAATTCTGAAATGTTTTTTTTTTTTTCGAAATCCTATAGGCACGACAGAGGGCGTAAACATACGACAGTTGCCACGGAATTTGGTATTTCCTTGTGACAATGTCCTTAATATATAAATTTATTAAATTATTTGTAACCCTCTAATAGCCAAAGCTCATATTTAGCATGATCTTTTAGTCGAAAGGGTCTCAAAGCTACAGAATCTTTACAGAAAATTATAGTGCTGCAGGATATCCCATCGTATCTAAATCATAAATACACGGAAAGATTACTTCTGACCATTACATTTATGCTGATATCCAAAGATATCGCATAGATAACAAAATATATACAATCATATCATGAGATTTTTTCAATTTGGCTTACAATATTGAACTGTATATTTTTCACCCAACAACACTATGTGTTCGGGGTTTTCTATTAATCCTCACGAAATTATGCATGGGGATAGGATTAGGGTCAGAATTAAAGCCAATTGTTTTTGAAGATATTAGCAAAATATTTTGGGTTTAAAATGAAGCAACAATCATCTCAGGATCAATAGACATGGAATTTGTTATAGGGTTAGAGTTCAGCTGAAGCCTAGTATTTTGGAACGTCATTGGATAATATTTAGCTGGTGAAATGTACCGCAATTCTGTGAAAAAATGCCAAAGTTAACAAAATCACATATACATGGGAGGTGTACCTTTGATCTTGACATTGAATCTTCATTCAAGTAAAAAGGATTTCAGATCTGCAGACAATTTACAAATATTAGTGTTGTGGGATATCAAATGATCGGTTCTGCCGAGCTATAACCTTTGCTTATGATATCGAAAAAATTGCAAAACTAGTAGATTCTTGCTGGTTCTGGAACAGAGCTCCTAATGGGTCTGGAACCAATATTGTCCAGAAAACTAATTTCATTGTTTAATAATCAATTTTTGAGTATATTGTTTATTTTATGGAAACTAAATAAAATAAATTTAATTTAACAACTAATTTTCCCGTTGAAAGACTTAATGTATTTTCTCTTTTATCTTTGGTCAAAATACAGTCTACCACAATTCCATGTAGAATTTTGCGCTGTTAATTTATTGAGGCAATATAAGTCCCAGCCCTTATACTATGCAAAATGTCCTAAAAATTGCAAACTGTAACGTGGAAACGAATTGTCATAGGAATACGGAGGGACAAACATAGCTAGATGGAGTCTAGATAGTCGTTATAAATATCTTGGCCACTACTATAAAATGGTACAGGGTAAAAATACTTCCTTTCAATTTTATTAAAATTTAGCTACCATATATAACTTTTCCACTTTCACTGCATTAGCACAAGAGAGGTACCGTGTCATCATAAATTGGTCAAAATTAATAAAATTCCAATTTTGAATAATTGACATAAAATAAGAAATATAGACGGAATGAAAATGCACCTTACAAAGGAGTAACAACTAATTTTTACTTCTTCAATTCCTCACATCAAGTTTGCCATTTGCAGTGGCTGTAATATTATATTTAGAAATCTTAATGGGAAGAAGATATCTTTTTAGATTCATACTTTTGAATTTCCCGCATATAATTGTCTCCCCCAATTTATGGTATCTTTCAGATCCTGATCAGTTTTACTTTGTGCGAGATTGTTTGCTACGATATTTCCAAATTTTATAGGTTTTAAGTTGTCACATGACCCGGTCGAACTATTTATTATAAAAATACTTTCACATGTTGCCCTCCCCACTTCATTTTTTCGTTTTTTTTTTTTTTTTTTGCCAAACCTTTTTCCTAAACTCCTTTAACGAAAACTCCAAAAATAGGTTTGAATCTCCCCCCTTAAAAAAAAAAAACAAAAGAAAAACCCCAAAAAGAATTGTAAACATATGTACACCATGAAGTATACGTACTTTTTTACTACTCACCGTTATTCATACGCATCGCCACACTCATCTTAGTGTTGGTGCGGCTGTTGGGCTGGAAAATGTAATCCAAGAAGGATGCTGGTTGGTGTTCCCTTTGGTTTGAGTTTCCTTTGACTTGGGTGTCTCTTTGACTGGCTGGCGGGTGGGTGTTTGTGTGCTTGTGTGTGGGAGGGAGAGTATGTCTATCGGTTCGCGTTGACGTTGTGTGTGGGTTTGTTAAGGTTGTCTGCTAACGTCGTGGTCGTCGTTGTAGAAGAAGAAAATACGCTCCAATGATTTTTGCCTTTGTTGCTTACAAAATATTTTTATTATTTTTATTTTAATGTTATTAGAGTTGATGATAATACCAACAGTGCGGCGGCTGCGGCTGTTGTTGTTGTTGGAGTAGTAGAAGATACCTGCGTTAGGTTGTGGCTTTGCGGTCCAGCCAAGATGTTGGTTATTAATAACTCTGGGTTCTAAGTGTGCTTCTATTTTTTTTTTTTTTTTTTTTTTTGAGTTAAGATAGTCCTTTGCTGTTTTGCTCCAATTGCATTGCTTTGTATTTACAAGGAGCTACTGCCGTTGCAGCTTCAACAATGACGACAGCAATGATGTTGATAATCAGTTAGAGGAGGATGTATGACGACGACACTCTCACACACACACTCTCGCTATGGAAGTGTGACAAGCCCACATGCACTGCCACTCGTAGATGCAATGAATTACCCCAGCCAAGGGAAACTGATCTGCTTCATTATTATTTGCCCTATTGAAGTTGATTTCACAGAGAGAGTGAGGTAAAAATCGGATGCTTAAAATTGTTATGGGTTCGTCCTTTCTTTTTTTAAAAAAAGCCTTTTTCTTATCCGCAATGATACATGATTGTGGCATTAGCAGCAATGGCAGAGAAATCAACAGCACCAACCATGGAAGCCAAAGAAGCCATGGTGTCTAGGATTCTTCTGGTGGTAGGCTCTTGTTGTTGTTGTTGTCTTGACATTCTACAGATGCATGATGTGGATTTTTTTCCTATGTGGGTTTTTGTTTTTGTTCTTTTTTGTACATTTCTTAAAGCTTTTCTTGGGGGGTTTGGATTATGTGTGTGTGTGGGGGGGGGGTTCTCAATGTGTATATACGTACATATGTATATATGTATGTGTGTGCGTGTGCAGTAGTATTTTCTTTAATATAGCTAATCTCTATGAATATCCTTGGTTTCCATTTCTTCTGCTTCTTCTTCTTTTTTGATAGGTTCACTTGGAATTTATTGTAGTTATTGTTGTTGCTGTTGTTGTTTTTTTATTTCATTCTTTATATTTCACTAAAATACCCGTATTACGAAGGATGTGCATAATAAATGGTTGGTTTTGTATGGTTGTATGCCATGCTGGTATGTCTGCTTGTAGGTATGTGTCAGCATTTGTGGTATCCACTGAGTAGTGAGTGTCCTGTTTTCTGTTGTTGTTGTTGTCTTCTTTCTTTGACGAAAGCCAGAACAACACACTTATGCAAGACGACCAAAAACTTAAAATTGCCAAAAATTTATTTTTCTCTTATCTTTTTTTTTTTTTGCTTTTCACTAATAAAAATATCACACCAATAAATTTCAAAATGAATTAACTAACATATTTCATAATTATTATTATTTTTTCACAATTTTTTTACACTTAATATTTCTAGATAGTAATGTCTGTATATAACATTGCTAAGTAAAATTTTCTGCTTTCTTTTTTTGGGGTTTCTCTAAATTATTGTATAACAAAAATAAAGTAATTTGTTTTATTCGTTCGTTCGTTTGATGTCTAAACACGGCCGTTTCTAATTTTCAGTTAAAAGTTCCGAAATTATTTCCAATGGAAATTTTGCCAATTTCAAAGTCCAGCGAAAAAATGAAACACATCAAATACACAGAGCCTTTAAAGTTTTTGTATACGTGTGTGTGTGTGTTGGTTGGTTGGTCGAGTTTGCTTCCTTCCTTTCTTGCTGGCCGTACGTTGTAGCAAAAAATATTTAATGTTTTTTCTTTTTTTTTTGTTTTTTTGGTCTGAAGTGTCTAGAGTAGAGGAAATGAAACACCTCAGCACATTCGAAGATGCGAACGAGATAACAATGATGCTGAAACTGAAACGCCATGGCAAAGCGATAGACCAAAAATCCTTTTTTCGCTGTGCTCAAATCTTACGCTCACGCACTCACTCACTCACACACATACACAGGAGTCTGTGAATTTTATTTACGCTCGCACAAAAACAGAGAGCATAAAGAGATGTTTGGTAAACACCAACGCACACTTGTCGGCAGCAGCATCCCGGGGACAGTGTGGTCAACTGTGATTTTAAGGAACATCTAGGATAAAAAAGGAAAACGGGATTTCTTAAATATACTTTTTCGAGGACCATTACCTCAACAGAAGTGGATTTTTTAAAGAATATTTTCGAAAAGGACCAGCAATAAACGTGTATTTTTCAAAGAATATTTTTAAGGATCAATAGAAACGTGGATTTTTTCAAGGATCGATGGAAACTTGCATTTTTAAAGAATATTTTTGAAAATGACCATCAATAAACGCGGATTTTTTAAAAGAATATTTTTGAAAAGGACCATTACTTAACGTGGATTTTTTAAAGGATATTTTTGAAAAGGACCATCACTTAACGTGGATTTTTTAAGGAATATTTTTGAAAAGGAACAATAGAAAAGAAAAATAGAAAAAGAGAAATTTTTTTAAAAAATATTTTTTCAAGGGTCAATAGAAAGGTGGATTTTTTTAAAAAAATATTTTTTCAAGGATCAATAGAAACGTGGATTTTTTTAAAAAATATTTTTTCAAGGATCAATAGAAACGTGGATTTTTTTAAAAAATATTTTTTCAAGGATCAATAGAAACGTGGATTTTTTAAAAAATATTTTTTCAAGGATTAATAGAAACGTGGATTTTTTTAAAAAATATTTTTTCAAGGATCAATAGAAACGTGGATTTTTTTAAAAAATATTTTTTCAAGGATCAATAGAAACGTGGATTTTTTTAAAAAATATTTTTTCAAGGATCAATAAAAACGTGGATTTTTTTAAAAAATATTTTTTAAGGATCAATGGAAACGTGGATTTTTTTTAAAAAATATTTTTTTAAGGATCAATAGAAAAGTGGATTTTTTTAAAAAATATTATTTTAAGGATCAATAGAAACGTGGATTTTTTTAAAAAATATTTTTTTCAAGGATCAATGGAAACGTGGATTTTTTTAAAAAATATTTTTTCAAGGATCAATAGAAACGTGGATTTTTTTAAAAAAATATTTTTTCAAGGATCAATAGAAACGTGGATTTTTTTAAAAAATATTTTTTCAAGGATCAACAGAAACGTGGATTTTTTTAAGAATATTTTTTCGAGGACCAACAGAAACGTGGATTTTTTTAAGAATATTTTTTCGAAGACCAACAGAAACGTGGATTTTTTTAAGAATATTTTTTCGAAGACCAACAGAAACGTGGATTTTTTTAAGAATATTTTTTCGAGGACCAACAGAAACGTGGATTTTTTTAAGAATATTTTTTCGAAGACCAACAGAAACGTGAATTTTTTTAAGAATATTTTTTCGAAGACCAACAGAAACGTGGATTTTTTTAAGAATATTTTTTCGAAGACCAACAGAAACGTGGATTTTTTTAAGAATATTTTTTCGAAGACCAACAGAAACGTGAATTTTTTTAAGAATATTTTTTCGAAGACCAACAGAAACGTGGATTTTTTTAAGAATATTTTTTCGAAGACCAACAGAAACGTGGATTTTTTTAAGAATATTTTGTCGAAGTGGCCATTTTTTCAAGGACCATCCCAACAATAAACCTGGATTTTTTTAAGAATATTTTTTCGAAGTGGCCATTTTTTCAAGGACCATCCCAACAATAAACCTGGATTTTTTTAAGAATATTTTTTCGAAGTGGCCATTTTTTCAAGGACCATCCCAACAATAAACGTGGATTTTTTTAAGAATATTTCTTCGAAGTGGCCATTTTTTCAAGGACCATCCCAACAATAAACGTGGATAAAGAACCCATAGTGGATTTTTTACCGAATATTTTTTTCAAGGACTACAATGAGGATTTTGTAAAGAAAAAGAAAACAGTTTGAGACCTTAGTTCTCTTTGTGCATTTCAGAACATTTGAAGTCGATCTATCGATGTCCGCCTGTCTGTCTGGCTAATTTCGGAAATCTCAAAATTTTCACATATAATTATTTACATTCTAGAAAAAGAAAGGATCATCCAATTTTATGCATATTTTGAAATTTCGATTTTTTTTTTATCAGCTCTAGGTCAAGTGCGAAAATGGGCAATATCGGCTCACTCCATCAAGTACCTCCCTTTAAAGGATCAAAGTTTTGAATATCAATAACTTTTATAATATGTGAAATAATGTACCAATTGCCTTCAAATTTCTTACGTCAACCAACATTCCCCATAAAGGGGTCAACATTTTGAAAACTGCATAAAAAGCTAAGAACTAGAGATTTAATATGAATATAGAATTTATCGGCTCAGAACAATGCTAGTCCAAATCTGGAACGTTGTAATATTTATATTAGACTTAGATTAGTTTAGACATAGAATATAAACCAGACAGATGGGTAAAGAGCATAACCTCCATAACCACAACCTAACATTTATGTATTGAAAAAGCGTTATTTTTTCATACTTTTTCTAATATTTTTCGAAGCCTCAAAATACTTTTAAAATAGTTGACAACACTGAACCCAGTCATTCACAAAAATGATAAAGGATATTCTACGCACACCCAAGCAAAAACCAAATATAAACAAAAACCAGCCTCAACTGCTCTGTGTGCTGTTTTTAATTCTTCTCTATTCTTAACTGCTCACTAATGAAACATCTATGATATAAATGTTCAAAAACAAATTTTAAACCCCCGACATCCTCTTATTGTTATTTAATATTTACGTTCTCTACTATCACTTGAATTATGAGAGTGGATGTGAATGTAATTTTTGTTTATTTCAGGGAGCCATCATTTAGAGCGCATGTCCGTGCAAATGTGTGTTTCGCACTGGCAGAGTTGCCAATAATTGGGAAAAGTTTTTTTCACACTTTTTTATTGCATTGAAAATTACTTTAAAATAATATAAATGAGGAAAATTTGTGCGTACATGGTGCAAAGGAAAATCTTCCTGTGAAAAACTAAGAACTCTGTTTTGATATTAAACATACATTTTACCAAACTATTATCGGAAGCCTTGATATTTTTGTACCACAAGTTAAGTATTTTTAATTAGAACGATGGTAACCCTATTGTTTCAAATCCCAATTTGTCAAAAGTTTGTTTGTATAGTTTTGTTTTCCTGCTGGAAAAATGAGTATCCTTTTCTTTGTTAAACTGTCACATTTAAAATGTAAACAAAATTGTTTTCTCTTTACAATAGTTTGACAGATATGTCAAATTGACAATACTGAAATAGTTTCTGTATCATACACTGAGAAAAGAAATAATGAAAATGTATATTGTTCTTTAGTCCTCAAAAACAATAAATTATTTGAATTTTGATGGACTATCCTGAAATGTTGTGTAAGGAATACGTTTATTTCTTTCGAGTACAGGGCCTCAATTCTTGTTCTGTGAAAATGTGAGATGAAAACTTTTATAAAGGAAAGACATGTCAAATGAAAAAGTTTATAAAGAAAATATTTTTCATTTCATATTTTCATAGAACAAGAATCCAGCCCCAGCATTATTGAAAATTATTGGTTGGACCATTAAAAAAATATTGTTGGAAATTGTTACACACATTATTCCTCTGAATATTTTTCAAGAAATATTCAAAAAATTGGGATGTTGCAGCAAAATAATTTTTGAAACCCTGTTTTTAAACAAATATAGACTTCTAAAATATTCCCGAAAACCTGCAAAAATATTGCTGTTGAAAATCTACAATAAAATCTCTGGTGGTCCATGTTAAATTATTCTCCAAAAATATAAATTATCCTTGGAGAAATATCTAAAATCTAAACAAATATTTTTGTATAAAATATGTTTTAAGATCACCTTAACTTTCATTCTAATACAAATTGATAAATAATCGTAAAAAATCCCCCAAAAATCCTATCCTATACAAAAGTCGCAATAGTGTTTGATGAAATAGTCTTAAAAGTCAACGTTTATAGTTCTGAATGCTATTGTCAAAATATAAGTAAAAAAGAAACAAATAAAGGCTATAGTCGGGCGGGCCGACCATATGTCTTGTGGTCCTTAAAAAAATATTATTTAAAAAATCCACGTTTGATGGTCTGATGGTCCTTGAAAAAATATTCTTTAAAAAATCCACGTTTGATGCTCTTGTGGTCCTTAAAAAATATTATTTAAAAAATCCACGTTTGATGGTCTGATGGTCCTTGAAAAAATATTCTTTAAAAAATCCACGTTTGATACTCTTGTGGTCCTTAAAAAAATATTATTTAAAAAATCCACGTTTGATGGTCTGATGGTCCTTGAAAAAATATTCTTTAAAAAATCCAAGTTTGATGCTCTTGTGGCCCTTAAAAAAATATTATTTAAAAAAAACAAGTTTGATGCTCTTGTGGTCCTTAAAAAAATATTCGTTTATTGGTCTGAAGGTCCTTGGAAAAATATTCTTTAAAAAATCCACGTTTATTGGTCTGAAGGTCGTTGGAAAAATATTCTTTAAAAAATCCACGTTTATTGGTCTGAAGGTCGTTGGAAAAATATTCTTTAAAAAATCCACGTTTATTGGTCTGAAGGTCCTTGGAAAAATATTCTTTAAAAAATCCACGTTTGGAGGTCTGATGGTCCTTGAAAAAATATTTTTTAAAAAATCATCGTTTATTGGTCTGATGGTCCTTGAAAAATATTCTTTAAAAAATCCACGTTTATTGTTGGGATTATCCTTGAACAAAATTCTTTAAAAAACAACGTTTATTGTTAAGATTATCCTTGAAAAAAATTCTTTAAAGATCCACGTTTATTGTTGAGATTATCCTTGAAAAAAAAATTCTTTAAAAGATCCACATTTATTGTTGAGATTATCCTTGAAAAATATTCTTTAAAAATCCACGTTTCTTTTCATG